TTGATTCCCTTGCTGAGCTACACTGTTAGAGAGTTGAAATCCATCCCTACCTTTCACCCACTGATGCTTACCGAAGCAAACAGAAGAGAGTTTATGTCTACTTTTACTAAACGTTTCCAGACCCTTTGAGGATCCCTCCTATGACAGGCTCGCCAGACCCCTCTCCATCCCCACGGACTGTTCTGGAAGTTGTCTAATTTGTCAACATCTCTCTTTAAATGTGACAACCAGAGATGGACACAATACTACAGATGTGGTTCATTAGAGCAGGGTACTATTAATTTCTGTGACATATGGACACTATACTATTATCAAGATCTAAATTTGATTTTATTTTTTGCAGCCACATTATGCCGCTGGTTCATATTAACCTGTTTCCTCAAAAATTGCCACCACATAGTCACTTCCTTTTTTTACACATCGATGAATTATGATGCATTTACTACTATAAAGTATCTTTTTGCATAGTGGTATAGCTTATTTTAAACCATGTTAACCCAAAATTCTGTAATCTATTTGTAACAGTTAATCCCTTTTCAAGTCATCCATGGATTTTAAAGCCAAGTCCTATAACTTCATCAAAGTCATTCATAAAAAATTTTTGAAGAAGAGAAGAACCAAGGCAAAGCTTGTGATCTTTCACTGGGCACTACTCCAAACCCAAACTCAGTAACCCGCGCACCTGGCAGGTACTGCTTCAGTCAGTCTCACACTCACAAAGCGGTCTTGCTAGTCTACATATCATGTCACATACAAGAGCGTTCTAAAGCCTTGACATATGCTGTGGTAAAAAAGATGCACATATATTTCAAAATAAAGTGTAAAAAAATAAACATATTAAAATTAGAGTTATGTAAGAATATATATGCACACAGAACAAAGACTAGAAAGGAAGGAGCATCAGTAGAAATGTTTGTTCTAGTGTCAGGCTGTGGAGATTGCTTTTAATTCAATACTGTCTTTTCTATAGTTACATTGTTTTAAAAATTGAAGACACCCAGAGTTTTGCTTAGAGAAAATTTTGCTTGGAGGCAGTTCATGTGAAAAGAGCTTAAAAAGCACTAAGACTTCACCTGATCCTACCAACCTGAAAACCCCATCAGAAAAATAGTCATTTGAAAAGACTTGTTGATTCTTAGAAAAACCAGCTTTTTAAAAAAATTTTCATTGCTGCTTTTGGCTTAATATTTCTGGATATCAAGGAGATAGCAGACTAGAAAACTGGATCCTTAAGTTTACAAAAAGAGCTGATGTTTTTTGTGTGTGTGTTGTGCGTGCGTCTGTCTGTCACGTCTGTCTCTCTGTCTTTGCTAGAGAGGTCGGAAAGGATGGAAAGAAAAACAAAATCATCATGTTAATATTTCTGTGAAGTTCTGTACTAAAACAGAGCTCCAGTCCAAGAATCTCTAGTGGATGATATATGATAAACCCATATATCATCTATTTACCTAGAGTCCTGTTTACACTGAGAGTAGATCAGCAATATAATTTGCACTTTGGTGTTTAGAACTGAGGGTAAGTTTTATGGGGTCAGATAGTTAGTAAAAACGAAAAAGACACAAAGTGGCTAGCTATTTTGGAGGAGTGTGATCTACAAATGTTATACTTATTAGAATTCCAAGCAATTTGAAAATTTGATTGAGAATTTTTTTTAACATGTCAGGGTTTCTTCTCTGTTTCAGCATTTTGGTTAGAGCATGGTTTTCATCAGTGGAAAACCAGTGTTAGAAACTTTATACAGGTTATCTTTATTTCTTTGAGGTTGTCTCTCACCGGTTTTATTCATCAGAGACAAGTGAAAATTCCACTTTGCTCAGAAAACAATTTGTCCAGCATACCAGAAGCTAAATATATGAAGCTTTTAGATTTATGGCAAACTCTTATAGTAAGTGGATAAAATGATCAAATACTAAGTACAGTTAATATCTAACTACTGAAAATTTTGCTTTGCTTAGAAATAAATATCCTCCATCATAATAAAAGTTAAGCCAAAGGTATGCAGGTTCACAGATCCATAGCAAACTGTCATTTAAAATAGATAAAATGTCCAACTAGAAAAGTCCAATGATCATTTAACAAATGAAAATTCCACTTTATTTTGAAATATAATTTTCCCACCATCATAGAAATTGAGCTAAATACATGAAGTAAATCAACAGCTTTAGAGATAAATAGCAAATTGTCATAAAATAGGTAAAATGTCCAAATAGAAAGTCTAGTTAATATCTGACATGTGAAAATCCCACTTTGTTTTGAAATAGAATTTTCCCACTACTTGAGAAGTTAAATATAGGTGGTAAATCCACAGCTTCATAGATCCGCAGCAAATTCTCATTAAGATGGATTAAAATGTCCAAAACAATGCCCATTTACTATTTGATATAACAGATAATGCACATTAGCAACTCTTTTTGCTTTACATGTAATCTTGTACAAAATGGGTAAGAAATAGTCAACGCTGGGAACAAATATCCGAGGAAATCCAAAATTCACTTATAATATTAAATGTCAAAAAAGTATTTAAAATTATTAATTTTGGGGGGGTGGTTTTTAATGTTGTTTTGTTGCTTTAGATAACACAAAAATGTTATCTAAAGTACTGTCTATTAACCTTGTATTTTGTTTTCATTTTTAATAGTTTTGTTGTTTTAAATAAGGTCTATCAAAATTACTAATCTACTAATGTTTTTTTTTTTCATAGAAAATTCTATTTCTAAGGCAAAGTAAAAATTATTTTATATGTGGGGGAATAAAAACCACAGGGAAATATACCAAAATGATAACTATGTGTATGTTAGAATAGTGAGATCAGACAAAATCTTCAGTTCTCTGCTTTTAAGTATATATGTACTAATGGTCATTTAAATTTTCAATTTTAGAAAAATGAATATTATTTCCTTTTTAAAAAGTCTCTGAAAATGTAATACTATTTGACAGTTAAGGCTCCTTGGAAAAAAATAGTGGAGAAAAATTTACGCCCATTTTTAATTTTTAGAAATTACACATTTACATCACTATGAAAAATATATATTAGTTAGGCACATAGATAGGCATAGAGGAAGTCTGAAAAAGTGAATTCCATAACGTTTCTTGGGGTTATCTTAGAATAAAGAGGTTACAGGTGATCTTGATTTTCTTCTTGATTTTTTTCCAGTTTTCTGCAGTTTTCTCCCCTGAATTTTGTACAATAGAAATTACTCTTATTATGATAAAAATAATACTAAAGCTTTTTTTAACAAAAAAAAATCCTATAACATTTTGAAATAAAAAAATCAAATCGGTTCAAACTTGTTCATACTTTAAAAGTCTTGAGATAAATTTTAAAACTAATTTTTCCCTACCATCTATGCTGGTTTTTAATCTCACTTTTTAGAAAAGGATATCTATGAGTTAACAACTAGGTGAAGTAACTTTTCTGGATTTAAATAAGAGCTAAGAATTTGACAATCCCGCAGCCGTGACAACAGTACTCTGGCAAACCTAAGAAATCCTGATATTATTATATCTTGCAGAAAAGGATGCATGTTCTAAAGATTAAAGAGTTCTTCTAAAAAGTATAATCGTGTTCCTCCAACTTACTGGGAAAATATCTTCCACTCCTATATATATCTAATGGTCAACATTTTATTTCTGATAAAAAAGTAAAATCTCAGCAAAAGTAATAGTTTTTACTCTTAGAAAGTTTCGCTTTAAGTATGATCCTTGTCACCTTGTCGTCTATAATGGGTCAAATTCTTATTTATCGTCTACATACAAAATAATCTGTACCAATGTTACTAAAATATGCTCAGTTTTATCCTTCAAATACAAGTGTGTCTCCTTGGTGTTTCAGGAACTTCACTCAGCTGTAGACAATTTGGTTTTTCATTTTAACTTAAACTTTTTACTCAGATAATCGATCGTCCGTTTTCTCACTTTGAGGTGTTTTAAAGGAAGATCTGTATTAAGACTTTTTTTTTTTAAGCATTCTTCCTCATCAATATTTTATGAGTCTTGTTAACTCATAACTCATTGTAAGTTTCTGTAACGTAAAATGTTTATACATAGAGGTAGACACAAATATATGAAGCCGAATCTCGGCAACACTCTTGAAAGTATTAAACGTGTGGTTGCCGTGACTAAATATATTCATTCACAATACAAGATTTACAAAAATCTAACGTAGCAGGGAGAACTAGGTCTCTCCGAAAACCTCGTAATCACCACCAAAAGGCTGTGCCTGCGAGACTCTGAAGGCCGCCGAGAACATTAGAGGCATCCACAGCTGTTTTTAATTGTTTTTGCTTTCTCGAAATAGTGCCCTTGGTGGGGCAAATGGTCACGTTTGTAGCGTCTCTGGCCCCCAGTCGGGGTTAACCCTAACCTGAACGCTAGTTTAGCTCCAGCATTTTATGACTCTGCTTCCCTGATCCTGAAAACCTAAGAAAAACGAGATTTCCTACGCCGAGAAATGCGCTTAGTAAGAGGGGGAAATTAGATGTTTCAAATGCATTTGCGTGTTCTCTCCCGATCCAATTCAAGAAAAAAAAAAAGATGTGTTTGTGTGGAGGGGCCGCAGCTTGACACCCATTTCCTATGGCTCGCCTCCGGGCCGAGGCTGCAGAGCCCCATTCGCGGGGTAACGGACCCCTCCAGAAAAAAATGAACTACGACCCCCAGCTCTTTGCTGCAGGGATCGGGAGAGGTCCACCAGAGGGCTGGAAATGGGTGGTGGTAGCGGGGAATGGAAATTGGAGATGGAATTTCAGCGCTCTCTGGGCAGGGAGGGGCCCGCGGGGACGCAGAGAAAAAAAGAAAAGGCCAGGGGTCAAGCCTCCGGAGCAACGAACAGGGCCCGGAGATGGGGTGCGGGGCGTCCTGGAAGAGGGGTGCAGTGGGGACCCCGGCAGCAAGAGAGAATGACGCCCATAAAATGCACCCGAGTACCCAAAACCTGGCGGGGGATGGGAAGGCGTCGGCCTGTTGGCCCTGGGACCTCCTGTCGCGCGCTGGTCACTAACCTGTCAGCAAGAAGGTGCCAATGGTTGCGGGGCTCATCTTCCGTGCCCCCCAACCCAGTCTTGTCCAAGCACAAGGGTCGCCCAGCTCCCACCACCGGGGCAATTGCATTCTTGGCCTGGCTAGGCCGGCTGTCCTCGATTCTCCCCTCCCCTCTCTTTCTTCTTTCCTCCCAGCTTGGCCAACTCAGCATCAGCATCCTGCACCCCCTCCTTAATCCCGTACTCCCTCTAGCGGCGGGCCAGTGTAGCATGGCCATTGTTGGTGGCCTTGGCTTCTTAGAATTCTGTTACCCCAGCTCACGCGGAGCACGCTGGGATTTGGCGCCCCCCTCCTCAGTTCAGCCTATATAAGGCTCCTAGTCTGCGATCCCGGTACACGCGCTACAACTTCGGTTGGTGTGTGTCGAAGAATCCTGACTGCGACCTGAGAGAACAGCGGAGAGGGTCCACCGAGCCTCGCGAAAGGTCCGCTGAGCGGGCTCGCGGCCGGAGCCACTCCGGGCTGCGGAGCACCCAGCGGAACCCACGCCTGGCACAGGTGTGGGACCCCGTCCTTCCTGTCTTCGCAGAGGAGTCCACGCGTGGTGAGTATGCGGTGAGGACTTTTTTTTTTTTTTAAGATCACGTTTATTCCCCATTCTTATCGGGAGCTGCGGGAGACGAAGTAACGCCTCTGAATGTCTCCACGCAAAACTTGTCACGCCTTCACTGGCTGTACCCCAAAACAGAGTAGAGAAACCAAGCCTTTAGGGCTTTGATCTCCAGGACCTAAGTCCAGATACGAGTTGTAGACAGACATGAGCTGCGGACAGACATGAGCTGCGGATGGAGATGAGCTACAGACCAATTTGCTCTTCAGATGCGCTACAAAGTGATACGCGCTACAAACTAATTGGCGCTTCATGCGCTTCAGACTGATAAGCGCTTCAAATGCGCTACAGACTGATGGGTGCTTCAATTGCGCTATAGACTGACAGGCACTTTAATGCGCTACGAACCAGTATGAATTGCTGCGATATATGAGCTGCAGACTGACTTGCGCTTTAAATGCGCTATAAAGAGGTGTGGAAGAATAACGCTACAAAAATATGGTTAGTACTACAACAGCGCTTTATTGCGCTACAAGGCACAGGAACTGCAGAGGTACATGAGCTGCAGAACAATTTATACCCTGAAATACACTACAAAGTAATAACAGCTGCAGAGGTATCCAAGCTGCACAGTTTTCGCGCTACAAAGAAACCAGCTCTAGAGGAATATGAGCTACAGAGTAAGATACTCTTGCTTTCTTAGACGTGGACCCCACCCTTTGTCTTTAACACACCTTTTGGAATGGCTCCCAGTTTTCTGCAGGACGGTTCTCTGCATTTTATGAGACAAAATGGAGCCCCGAGTAAAAAATCGGTATTTAACATTCTGGCCACAGTATTCCTGCTATAGCAGTGGAGTGGAGGGGCCCTGACTTGAGTGTTAAAAGGGAATCTTTTCGTGGTGGCTGAGTGGGTTGATTGAAGTTGCGGTGTAGTTGTAGTGGTGGCGCGAACTGGCATCCAGCAACAGTTTGTGGAAACTGTTGGTTTACTTAGTATTGGAGAGCAGATTGGATGGCGGGCAATTGCTCTCGTTGCATGAAATGAATCTGGCTTTTGGAGGCGGGTGGGAGGGATTTGGGGAGGGGGGAATCCTGGGAGAGGTTTGCAGCCAGTCTCGGACCCGCCTCGCCCATTCTAGCGCGCCTACTCTGCAGAATCCGCTCAAAGCGGACTTAGCGCCTCCCAGCGCCTACTTAGAGCGCGCCTACTCTGCAGCGCGCCTTCCCAGAGCGCGCCTTCTAGACCCTGCCTCTCCAGGCCCCGCCTCTCCCTGAGCCCACCTCCTCTGAGGGGGCTCCCGCACACCCCGGCTCTCTCAGCCTGCCTCCTCTGAGGGGGCTCCCCCAGGCCCCGCCTCTCCAAGCTTGGCCCCTCCTTGAGCCAGCCTCCTGAGTTTGTCTGTGGCCCCACCTCCCCCTACCAGCTAGCTTGCGCCTGCGCAGTGTGCGCCTCCAGCCCCTCCCATCAAGCTCACCTCTGCGCCTGCGCACTTTCACCGCCTGTCTGCACGGCCCCACCTTCCTGCGGTTTCTGCGCCGGTTTTGCTTTTTTTATCCACGAGTGTCTAATAAATATAAGAATAATAAAGAACAATTAACAAAAATAGTAATTATACCTGGAATTTATAAGCGCTTCTTTAAAGTGCTTTGCATATGTTCAGTAACATCCCGCAGTTTAAACTCCTCATAGTCATAAAGCGTGCTTCTAGGCTGCCATGGCTGGCTCCTTTAAAGACAATCCAGCTAAGTGTCCTTACAACAAATGATAAAATGTTTTAAATGCTTTTACACTTAAGGTTTGGTTTGGGGGTTTTTTGCTTGTTTGTTTGTTTTGTTTTGTTTTTGTTTTTGAGACACTTCTGTACCTTTGTGGTGGGACCTACTTGAATTGGATACAAAATAAAGAACAACTTGAACTGTTTTATAGGAGTTTTAAATGGATTATTAGTGCTGCTGACTTGGACCCTGAGAGAAAATGAGATGTTTATCTGCGTGCCTATGAAGCTGTATTTTTTTCCTTGGAACTCTAGGCGATTAACCCTGGCTATATTGCCTACATATTTATTAATTGTGCCTGGCACATGGTAGGCATTCATTAAATATGAGTTAAATGACCAGAGTAAATTGTTCAATGCTTTTCTTTGTGTTTGCAGGTTTTTTCTAATTTCTTGCTCCTGGTTCTTTCCTATGGTGCTTCGCTGTCCAGTCCAAGGCATTGCTCACCTTTATCTATCACATTTAACAGTATTTTTTTTAAAGCATGCATTTTAAAACTCTAATAATATAAACTGTCATTATAAAACAACTAAATTAATTTAAAATAGTCAAAATAATTAGCTTTTTCAAAAATAAAAGCTAATGATTTAAATTTGGGGCAAGTGGATTATTTCACGGGACGTAATTGTCATATTTAAAGTCCGTATAATGTAACGTAAAGTAGTTACATTATGAGATAGATGGAAAGTTTTAACTGGCATTATTAAATATATAAAACAAATTTATACTTTACTGCCAGTCAGATGTACCATGTTTATATTTCTAACTAAATGAAGAAATTTTAAAACCTAGTTCCATATATTATAAACCAGGAGCCAGGACTTTGTTAAGGGGGTTTGGGGCCTTGGTTCCCAAAAATATACAAGTATACAATCTGTGGATAACATGTGCTTATAATTACAGCTTTCAGTAAGTCCCCAGTTCCCTTTTACCCACTTTGCCACCCTGACCCCTTCTACTTGGAAATTTTGTATCTGCATTTTAAAGAGGTTCAAAACAATAATAGTGAAAACATGCAAATTAATTAATTTGCATTTCACAAATAGTACACTTAGTACTCAAAAAGAAATTTGGACATTCGAAAATGTAAAACAATTAAGTTGCTTAATGAAGTGTCATTTCCTAATGGGATGTTTAATGTACAGAAGTTTTTGGCTACTATTACTCTTTAGTGTATTTGGGAAATAGAAATTTTTAGAGATCATCCTGAAGAGCCAAAGATTAATCAAATGTATGTATGTAATTCCTAAATAGACTAACACTGAACCATTTTTCATATGTAAAGATGGTGTTCCAGGTGGCTTGGAACTGTGTATCCTTTCAAGTTTTAGGAATGGGGCCTCGACACACCCCCCCAACACACACTCACACCCCCATTGAGCCCCTGCTAAGGGGGCATTTAAGGAGCCATCGTTCTGTAATTCAAATCCAGTCACAATGCTACTGTTTTCTTGTTAACTGGTACTACAGTTACTGTTTAAATGTTTTAAAACTTAAACTGATTGTTAACCTGACTGCTCACTACTCTATCACTTTTAGTAATATTTGTCTCTGGGCATTTATCTCTTTTAGGACTTAGAGTCTCACCCCAAAATTACTATCTCTGGGGATGGAGACCTGAGGCCTGATATTAGTAAAGGTCAGGGGTCTCAAACTGATGACCTTGCAGGCCAAATAAGGCCCCGACTTTGTCTGACCAGCACTGGATTAAAATGTTCTAAAGAATTAAAAGGATGTCCTTGGAGAGAAGAGCATGCATCTCCAAATTATATACTTGCAACCCTTCCCTATTAACTCCAATCTCTTCTCACTTTTATATTAACTTCCTGTATACTAAAAGCATTTGAATTTTAAATCCTTGTGTAGATCTTCTGTTTCCATAAACAATTCAGTGATTGCTGATTTCCTAATGTGTTATTGTTTCTGATCTATCATTGTGTTTTGCAGACTTTAAAACTGTCAGACCTAGGCGTCAATAAAGCCCACCCCAGTGACTGTGATTGACACGTAGGTTGTTAACTTTCCTGACCTGGGTCAGGCTGTGCCAGACCATTCAGTAAATGCCTTTTCAGAAGTTGTCTAAGTTTCAAAAGTTTTAAGGTTTAGATGACAGAAGTGGCACCTAAGTCACCTGACCTGTGCTTATTAGGTGTTTTTTAATAGGACATTAAAACTTAATTCTAAGTTTCGAAAGTATTAATGTCTACATGACAAGTGGCACCTGAATCATTTGACCTGTGTTTATTAGTTTTTTAATGGTATATTAAAACTCTTAATTTAATTTATTAAAAGTTTAATAAATAACGCATTATGTTGTGAACTTATATTCTGAGTGTCACTAATGTAATTGTCTTTGAGTTGGAAATAAAACTGAATGTCGGACTATGATGCGTTAATTACATCTTCTAACTTCTTCTAAACTTGAATTTTTATCTTGAAAGTCAATTATTCATTGTTTTGGTAGCTTAATCTATTAAATAATCAAATAGCAAGTTAAAACTATTAAAATGGCACAGTAAATCTGTTCCTTAAGGACTCTTTGGGGAGGCCACACCAACAGCACAGGGCATAGGGAGAGTGGCTGTTTGTGGTGGAGTTGGGGCAGGGGAGGGGCCTAAAGGATTAGGGAGAGGTCTTAGGAAAGAAGCTAAAGGCTGAAGTTTATTTTTCATCTAACTTCTCTGAATAATCTATGTTTATCTTTGTGATTTTATTTTATGTAATTAACTTGTATCCATTTTTGCCTTTATGGGTCAGTCAGGTAGCCAGGACTGCCAAATTAAAATTTAGTGAATAGGCAGGCTACCTGCTTTATATATTATGGTTCTAAACTTTTTAGTAGTTTCCTAGAGTTCCAAAAGCGAGAATTTGATGCTCATTTAAAAAAAATCATTGAAAAGTCAAAATAATTAAATTACTCTAAATACATTTAAACCTATATTCAGGAAGTATATCATCACTGTGTGATGACTTATTGTATATGTGATTTATTGTCACCATACCCATAATTAGGACATTTAATCCCCTCTTTCCTGTTCCCCCACCCCACTACCCCCCACTATTTGAGTTCAGCCCTATCCCACTCTAAGTTACAAACTTTCAGGTGGGGCTGCACTGACAAATCTTGTTTAAAAGCAGGGATTGTACATTGGTAACCTGCAAGTCAAATAAGGCCCTGGATTTGTTTCACCAGCACAGTATTTTAAAAAATAATATCTTTAGGTGGGAAATGCATGCCTAGGTTGCCATAGTTGCAGCCCAGCCCCTCCCTGTTTTAATACCATCCTCTTTACACAGAAAGTTAACTTTCTGGTTTCTTATTAATGTCTACTAATAGTTACTGAGCATTCACTATGTGCTTCACCTGCATTATTGAATTAAATCTTTATTATAAGTTTGAGGTGTATTATTACTGGGCTTCTTCCAATGTCACATGTTATAGCCCAGCTCCTCCTAGGAGGTAGCAACTAATGTTTGTTGAGTGCTTGCATAATAAGGAGGAAAATTGATGTACCCATGTTGCTGCTCAGTGCCATTTCTGTCTCATAGGGAGTTCTCTTTGGGAAATCAAATTGTGGTCAGAGACGTAATTTAGACAGTCCCGTGGGTTTTGTGGCAATTGTCTGTAGTGGTGGACCAGGGAGGTAGGGTTGGCTGAATGCCCCTGCCCTCAGGGCTGATAAATACAGGCATTGTGATTTTAATTCCCCCTTTCTTTCTTTTTTTTTGGGGGGGTTCCCTATTGGATGGAATATTATCTATTATTCAAAAAACAACTTTTCTAATAACAGTTAATCATTTTGGCTTTATTTTATGTAATTTGTTTGATAGTCATCTTTGCCTTGAAAGTTTCTTGCTCTATTTTCTGGATACAAA